GGAAATTAAATTCTTTTCCCAGATCAGCTACTATTATTCAATCAGCTTAACTGATTTGGGTCCATCCTTCCACACACCCTGTTCCATTCTACTCTGGTGAGAGTAAGACCCAACAAAAGCCAACTCTAAATTATGTCGCATTTTTTAAAAATTTAATTAAAAGTATATAAAAAAGAAGAGAAAATAGCAAATAAATCACCATTTAGCATCACCCAGTTTCAAGAATTATGAACATTTGGCCAAAGTTTGTTTCTGTGTTTCTACCCATTTCCCTCCACATATTGTTTTGAAGAAAATCTCAAATATATCATTTTAATCCACAAATATTTACTATGTATGTCTACAAATAACCCTTCTTAAAACATTGCTACAATATCATAATCACAACTAACAACATCCAACAATCATTTTTATTATTAAACACCCAGTTACTGTTTGTCATCATTTTCTCACAAATGTTGTTTTCGTTTCTACAGTTTCTTTTCTTTTCTTTTTTTTTTTTTTTGTAGGGTAAGAGGACAGGGGAACCAGGATTCATATAATGTTCGCACATTGTAGTCGATATTTTCTTAAGTCACTTTTAATCTACACTGGTTCTTTTTCCATTATTATTTTATTTTTTTAACTTTTTCCCTTGAGATTTATTTTTTTTTAAAAGTCAAGTTGTTTCTCTTATGCAGTCTCCCATAGTCTGGATTGTGCTCCCCTTGGTGTAATTTTACATGTTCCTCTGTCCCTTGCATTTACTGTAAATTTTGAAGCTTAATCAAATAAAGGTTTTTGTTTGTTTTCTCAAAACTATTTAGTAAATGGTATATTACTCTATATGGAATGCCATTACAAAACACCATAGTCTGGGTAGCTTAAGCAATAGAAATTTGTTCTGGAGGCTAGAAGCTCAATATCAAGGTGCTGTTATGGTTGGTTTCTGGTGAGACCTCTCTTTCTGGCATGTAGATTGATGTTTTCCTGCTGTGTCCTCACATGGCCTTTGTGTGCACTTGGAGAGAATGAAAGGAAGAGAGAGAGGTAGAGAGAGGGTGAGGGAGAGAGAGAGAAAGGAGGAGGAAAAGAGAGAAGGAGAGATACAGAACACATTCTGGTGTCTCTTTCTCTTCTATTAATAATAAGAACACCAGTCCTATCAGATTAAGAGCCTATCCATATGACATCATTTAACTTTAATTACCTCCTTAAGAGGCTCTGTCTTTGTATATAGTCACATTGGGAGTGAGGGCTTCAACATGTGAATTTATGGACACAGTCCCCAGTTCGTAACAGATGATGGTGAATTAATTCTTTCACTGGGAGGCATGAATTATCTCTTTTTTGTGCTGTTAGCAGCAGTTGGTACTTAAACTTGTGATCCATTAATTTATGAGGAGTTGTAAAATGGTGGCACTCTAATTCAATCACTCTTTTTATATTATTAGCTAGAATAATTCCACAAAGAGAAACTTAATTCATCAATTGTTCGTTTACTGAGTGTTATGTATCATATGGAAAAAGCAGAACATGCATAATGTTTTCTTATTTTCCAGTTTTCAAAATGTTTCTGAAGCATCTTTCAGAAGTGATCAATAAGGTGTTCTTTTCTCAAGGTTATTACGAACTTATGGATTTAAACATATTTAATCTATTTCAAATCATTACAGATATCTTTATTGATGCTCAAACTGTCCCACCTTTAGCCAGAGGAAATCTTTTTCTTGTTGGTTCTTGAGTACTTTTGACACCAGCTTAGTAGTCTTGGGTATCTTTCTTGCTATTTATTGTGCCCAGGTGTTTCATACAGTTATCTTGTTGATTTTCTGCTCTGGATCTGGAATCAGCTTTCTCGTTCAGAAACCTTAATTTCTTTTCGCGGTAAATGGTATTTCAAAATCAGAATCTTAACACTAGAAATGTTCATTGCTTCTGAGTTGGCCATTATTTTTACTTCTTTTAGTTTGTTATTCAGACCTATGCTGTATGTATTTTGTTTCTTATGATACACTACAACCTGAGTTTAAACTTATATTGCCAATTCAAGATTAAAACTATAGGTGTTTTTAATCTCGCCTCTTTAATCTTATGTTTTGATCTTCTTTGTCCCTGCCCAAGAATCCAGTTTATAATACTGAGAATAATAGAATTAAAATACCACACAATTATGTACTCATTTATTTTTTTATAAAATACTCCCACAACCATCTTAGAATAACACCACCAATATCGCCACCAATAATATGATTACTGTAGAACATTGGTTCCCAACCCCCAGGGCTGTGGCCTGTTAGGAACCAGCCTGCGTATCACTGTCTGAGCTCTGCCCCCTTCCCTCCTGTTTGTGGAAAAATTGTCTTTCTTGAAACTTAGGAACCGTCCTGCACAGCAGGACGTGAGCAGCGGGGTGAGCCAGTGAAGCTTTTAAGCTTCATCTGTATTTACAGCTGCTCCCATCCTGGCACCACCGTCTGAGCTCCGCCCTCCACCTCCCCTTAGTCCCCAACCCCATCTGTGGAAAAATTGTGGGGACCGCTGCTGTAAACAGTTTAATTTTTTTTTTCAATTTCTAATGTTCTTAGGCTATATTACACTGAGGATGTGATGTCAAGGTATTATTTTTTAAAGTCATAGTCATCTGGAGTAATTCCTTTCTGTTTATGCTTATATCTCAACTGACTACCTATTTAGATTGATTTTGTTTTGTTTTATATTTTGAGAGGTCTTTAAATTTAATTTGTTTTATAATAATATATAACATTTATGTGGCTTCAAGGTAAAAAAGTGTAATACAGTTAATGAAGCCTAATTTTAATACCTATGCCTCCCACTTATAATCTCTCTCTCTCTCTGTCTCTCTCTCTCTCTCTCTCTCTCATGTGTAATCAATTTTTAACGTTATGGCTTATTTTTGTATATTTTAATATACATATGAATTCCCTTTTAAATATGTGTATACTCTCTTTTTTAAAAGTTATTCTTTTCCATATCACTTTTTTCACTCGATATATCTGAAAATAACTCTATAGTAATAGGTGAAGATATCTATCATTCGTTTTTACATTTGAATTATTATCCACTTTAGGATATTTCACTAATTATTCAGCCAGACCATTACTGATGTATATTTAAGTGGGTATTTATCTTTCATTATTATAATGCAAAAATATCCTTGAAGTGTAATTCCTGGGTCAAAAAGTAAACATTACTATGATTTTGATAGATTATGCCAAATTCTCCTTCATAAGTTTTATAGCACTCTTTTATTAACACCGCCTATGTCCAGAAGTGCCTATGTTCTTGCAGGCTCACCATAGAGTATGGTGTCCAACTGAGACAATTGCTAATCTAGCAAGTGACAAATGGAATCTTAGTGTAGTTTTAATTTGTATTTTTCTTCTTATATACAGAGGTTAACATCTTTTTTTATGATTGTCATTTGCCTTTCTTTTTCTGTGAACTACCTGTTCATTCTCTAGCAGCTAGCCCCAAACTTTTATTAATATAATACATCACTGGTCTTTTTTTCTTAGGTAATTTATAAATCTGTCTTTATATATAAGAGATATGAACATTTTGTCTCTGATATAAATTGCAAATATTTTTTTCCAGTTTGTCACTGTGGTTTTACTTTGTTTATTGTAGCTTGCCATGAAATTTTGTACTATAGTCACATTTACTTATCTTTTCCCTTATTGCTTCTCAATTTTGACCTGTAGTTAGGAAAGGTTTGCCCACTCTCATGTTAGAATAAAATTTATCCATGTTTTTACCTACAAATAGTGTTTATATTGTTTTATTATTTATTATACATGGATATCTTCTACATTTGGTGTTTGCTTTAGTACATTATATGAAGAATGGATACAATTCCACCATTTACTGCATGACTCTTGTTAGGAGTGATAACTCCTATATCATATATTAAATTTTATCTGTAATTCTGACCATTTCTGGATTTTTAGTCCATTTTAATTATGTAAAATATTTTTCTGTTTTTTTTCCCCCCTGACGTAATGCCCGGGAGAATTTCCTTTCTTGTCTCATTGTTGAAGAGAAGGAGTAGTAGCAATAAGCCCATTTCTGGGTATGTTTTACTTCTGGCAGCCTGGATTTGAATGCAAACTCTGTCCCTGATTGTTTTTTTTGGACTTAGATAAGTTATTTAATCTCTCAAACCTCCCCAATCCTTATCTGTAGAATGGAAATGACTTGCAGGGTTATTGATGGTTCCTTATACAAAGCTTTTATCATATACTGGGCTTCAAAAACTGGAAGCTATGCTATTTTACTCTTACAGTTATTGTTTGTCCAAATGTATATACTATACAGTTCTATGATTTAAGTTCTACTGTTTCTTCACTTTGGGAAAAAGAATGTTACAGTACACAAAGCAAGATGATACAATTGAAAGAAATTTATTTAAGAAGAAATGTACTTCAATTTATTGAAATGCCTGCATTTAAGAAATAGACATTGAGGATAATCAAAACCTATATTTTAATTTACTGTGGTCAACATAATTATCTAGATACTTATCTTAAGAAAAATATTTACTTTGATGGAACAGGATATGTTCTTATTAATTTGCAAGCATCTTGATATTTGGTGCAAATTATAAATAATTATTTATTACAAGATATGTCGATAGATCATGCAGGCTATAATTAAGATTTATGCACCATTAAAATATGATTTTATAATTTAAAATTTGCTCTCGCTCTACCTAATATCTCTTTTCATGTGATGAAGTTTCAAATTAATTAAAGAACTCTCTTAATAAAAAATGTTTGGAAAATCATCCAAACAATTATTTTTCATTCTCTTACTCATAAATAAGCTAATTAATTATATACTACATGTGTGTCTTCTTTCCCTTGACTGTATAATTTTGAAACTAAATTTACTAATGAAATTGTAATTTTGTTCCTTAGTTAATGAATGGAAATAAATAAAGCAGACACACATATTACTTATTGTTCTCAATTATGTGCTGAAATCTCAATGTGTTTCAGGGACTCCTGAGGATTACCCACGATTTTTCCATATGCATCCTAGGACTGCAGAACTTAGTCTTCTGGAACCAGTAAACAGAGACTTTCACCAGAAATTTGATTTGGTTATTAAGGTAAATTAAACTAATATCTTATCTCCTTGTGTTTATGAATTGCTAATCAAAGAGACCTGTAGTGGCTACTGTAGACACTTTTGCATTATAAAAATTAAAATTAATGTGGACAGCAGTTTACCAGTTTTCTGTTAAAAAAAGAACAAGTAAAGTATAGCTTTAATACATGGCGCTGTTTTTCTCTAAAATAATTTTTTATAGCACTATCTAATAAAATACTAAGTATTTTTATATGTAATAAATGTCCTGGTCAAATGTATATAATTCTACATAATTCATTACACCTTCTAACATTTATTTTTCTACTAAAAAGAATTAATTTTTGACCATAGAAGCATAACCAATGAATATATTTAAAATGTGATTCATTTACATTTTTAAATTTGAATAACATATTATTTGATTAAATGCTCCTGCTTTTTCTAACATAAAAGTGAAAGGTCTTACTTATCCAGAGATTATTTCAATATATGTCTCATTATTTTGTTTGTGTTGAAAGATGATCCTAGACCTGAAAATTTTCAAAGCTAAGGTAATCTATTTTGCAGTACAACTTTGGTTTCATAATATCTAACATATTGCAATGACATCGTGAAAGAGATACTGTGGAAATCCAGATGATCTTCCAATTGATTCTTATGGACTTCATTGAGAAGATGAGATTAAAGCTGAACAGCAAAGGAAAAATAGGAATTTGCCAAGTGAAGATGGGGACTGGGAGAAGGGCATTATAAGTAAAAGAAAAGACAAAAGCAAAGGTACAACATAAGTTTAGTATATAGTGCATAACATTTTCATATTTAAGCATACCAAAAAAATAGCTCGAGTAATGCAGCCCTATGGCATTTTTCTCACTTTTTTAAAATTTAAAAGTATTAGAGGAAAAGGAATTAAGGTAAGGAAGCTTACTGAGCATATACATTATGCCAGCTGCTTTATGTACATTTTTCATTGAATTGTTGCCACAACCTTACTAGTAGGCTCATTTGTACAAAACATGGAAACTGAAGTTCAGGTAAGTTAAGTGATTAGCTCAAAATTACGTTACTAAAGAGGGGCAGAATTGAGATTCAAATTTAGTTTTATATAAACTAAAGCCATGCTATTTTCACTTCACAAATATGCAGTTGCTTAAAAATTTGTTCTCTGGTTTAACTATCCATAAGTCCAACTGCAAACAATATTATGTGCACATACATTTATTAATAATTTTAGCTTAAATTAGGAGATATGTTCTTACTGGCATTTGTACCAGTTGTAGTATACATGCCAGACCTGTGTTTATTTAGTGGTCCTTTGTGCTTGAAAAACTTATAGTTTAGAAGTAGAAAGAGTCATATAAGCAGATAAATCAAATATAGCACATCAAATGCAACAGGAAAACATGTAAAAAATACTAGCAAACCATAGAATTGGGACATTTAAATTAATCTGAGAACTCAAAGAGGATTTTCTGGAGAATTCCCCAAGCCAAATGTTGCTGAATCAAAAGAATTTGGGCAATGAATAATAGTGGGAAATATGTTTGAACATAAGGAAGTGCAGAAGTAAAAGCTTGGAGGCATAACGTAGCAGGCTACAAGCAGTTAACAGGGAAATGAAGTATAGAGCCGGACCATGGAGACAGCCTGATGGATGATTGCAGTTTCTTTGGTTCATTCAGTAAGGGTTTAGGAGGCATTCAACAAAGAAACATTACTTTTACCATTTGTATTAAATGGTCTTGCATGAGTTTCATCTTTTTGCATTGAGTACTTTATTTTAATTATCATGGGACGATCTAAAACTCCAAAATGTGTATTGATCATCTATTGTGCATCTACCTGGAGTCTTGTGGTGCTGCTCTCTGTGGGAGTTAAGAAACTTACAAAGCACTGTTTCCAGAATGACATATTTGAAATTAAAAATCAATTACTTTCCTTTACTATCAAAGTCGACTGTCCTGGTGTACCTAAATACAGAGTGACTGAGTCCATCAATAATAGAAAAAAAAAATCAATTAGAGCATGCCACAGATAATTTTTTTTTTGTTTTAATAACACTTGCTTGTTATTAATGGAAGTTTTTACAGACATTATTAGATTGAAATTACTGTGTTTCATGTGCAGTCAAGGGGATAATAAGCAAAGGTATCAATCTGTAAGAATAATAATGTGTCACCTGCTTGAATAATAGCTGAATATTGTGGCATTGTTCAGGGAACCATTGAAATACTACAGTCTGGCAGGTCTCCTGTGTAGTAAGTCTTTCAAATTCTTCCCTTTTTTATTTTAATAATGCTTCATTTTTACATTGGCCATACAAGTTTTTGTTGGACTTGATCCCAATTTCTGTTTCAGAAGCTGAGAAAAATAAAATAAAATAAAATACCTTCTCCTAAACTTTGAAGAATTCTGCTTTAAAAAGCTATGTGTGTATTTAACAGCTGGTGAGTGCCACAAATTAGAGATTTATCATCTTCATTTTTTTCTATTCCTACTAATGATTTATTCAGCAAGCTGGCAAATTAAAATGTAGAGGTGAAACTAGGAAGACAAACTGGAGTACTTCACAAACTCTAGAACATGAAAAGATTCAAAGATGTCTGATTCAAAAAGGATGTTCCATGTCAAAACACTATCCCAAATTTTAAATAATTGTAATCATTTAAGCATCCTTTAAAACGTGGTACACATTTTGAACAAGAATTATACATTTGGTTTGCCAATGACAGTTCATGTTTATGCTTTTTCTCTTTATATAATTATTCATAATACTGCTTTCACTCTTTAGCATGTCCCAGTTTGGATAAGTTATTTGATCATTACATTACGCTTATAAAGCAAAAACCACCTATCACATAAAAATATGAAAGCACATTTGAGGTACTAAAAAATAGTGCATTAGCTCATGTGTGGATCATCTATAACAAAGCCCAGAAAATTCCCTTTCATTATTATAAGTGCAGTACTTTTAAAGTGTTATCAGTTGATATATTTATACTCTAGGCATCTAGCACAAAGCTGCTAGCCTTTAATTATTAAAACTGATTAAATGGGTAAATTATTAATAATTCACTGTCCCTCAGTTCCTCAAAGAATAATTTCTTTTTATTTTAAATCTAACTCCCTTTGATTAACAACTAAGCAAGGATAACAATGAAGTCACAAACATCATTGTGTTATGGTCCCTTTGTCTAGCAGGCTTGCCTTTAACTTCTTTTCCTCTCAAGTCATGAAAGTATTAATTCTGAACTCCCATCAGTTACTTGGCACACTCTCTGTTCCAGCCACCCACTCTTTCTGACATGCAGGCATTTAGAAATGTTGATCCTCTTCCTGAACCATTCCTCTCTTTTCTTGTCAACAGTTTAATTCAAACTGATGCTTCAGTTTTCAACTAAGACACTCACTCTGGAAAGAAAGAACCACCCCGTGCCCTTGCAGCCTGTTTGCTCCAATAGTGGCCTCGATTCCTCCATATTATTTTTTTTCATTTCAGCACATTACGGGGGTACAAACTTTTAGGCTATATGTATTGCCTTTACTCCACCGAAGTCAGACCTTCAAGCATGTCCATCCCCCAGACGGTGCACACCGCACTCACTAGGTGTGAATATACCCATCCCCTCCTCCCCCCTCCCACCTGCCTGACACCCTATGAATGTTACTACTATGTGTGCACATAAGTGTTGATCAGTTAATACCAATTTGATGGTGAGTACATGTGGTGCTTGTTTTTCCATTCTTGTGATACTTCACTTAGTAGAATGGGCTCTAGCTCTATCCAGGGTAATACAAATTTGCCTGTTTATTTTCTCCCGACCTTTACAGGAGGGCAGATTGTAATATTTCTTTACATTGTATTTTGTGCCCCTCACCCTACCTAGATATAGCACATAGAAGGTGCTCAATAAACATTTGTTGTAAGGATTTTCTCCCTGGCACAGTTCATTTTTTAAGATTGCTGAATTTGGGTAGTTACATCTTTATTTAAATATATACATTTGAAAGTGTATGTATTTGGTACAATTTTATCTCATGTTTCTGTTCAGAAAAAAAAAGATACAATTAAATTCTCAAATAAATTCAATTCCTAGAAAAAACTCAGAACTACATTAAGTCATGGTTAAAGCTATTTATGACTGCATTTAAAAAAACTATTTCTTCTAAAGAAAAAAATATATATGACATAGAAAATAAGCCAGGGGATTAAAACTAGTGAGCTTGACTATTAGTGCCAGTGTGCCAATGCTCCTGGCAAGGTGCCTTACTTCAGTATTTTGAGAGTTATAGCAAAATAGCATCTGAGAAATGATTGAGGCCCAAGAGAACAGCTACTACAACCTTGAACCTACATGAATCTTTAATGCTGAAACTCTATGAAATGTTTAACCACTATTTGAATAATTACATCAGTTATACTTTACTTCGTAGGAATTCAGTATAAAACCTGGATTCAGTGTTTATAAAGCATGTGGCATTTACTAATTTTCAGCTTGCTTAACCTTTTTTGAGTGTTTGGCATTTTGCTTGATGTTGAAGAAATAGAGATGTATAAAAGCTCTGACTCCAGGAAATCACAAATATGGACATTTTGCTTTTAGAAATATTTACTTTCTGATGTTTCCATCCATATTCCAAATTATTGACTGGATAACTACTCCTAGTATCACACAATTATATCAAATTACAAATGTAGGAAACTGTACACATTCTTTTAAAATCCCAAGGTTTCTACTCTTGATTCTCACTTTCAGTTAATCATATTGCAATTGGCCATCTACTCAAATTAGGCGCTTCTAGTTCCTCATAGGTCTCTGCTCCCATTTGTCCTCACTCAGTAACTTATAAAATTTCATACAGATATCTCTGGAATGTCTCTTGAATATCTCCCTCACTCCCCACATCCACTGTAATTCTCTAGTTCACATTCTCATGGCCCATGATCTCACACAATATTTCAAACTTTTGCTCCTTTTCCTTGTCTTATCTATCTTCCTACATTGCCAATAGAATATT